AGAGGCTAGATTCCGGATTCCAAAGGCTGGATTCCGGATTCCAAAGGCCTGGATTCCGGATTACAAAGGCAAAAATATGTCGGATTCCGGATTCCGGATTCCCTTACTTGGGGCGATTCCTCGGAAAGATCCGCCAAAAACGCGATCCTCTGGTAAGTGTCAAGTTGAGACTTCCTCGCTTTCTAAGAAATTGAACTTGACTCGTTGATACGACAGATTCCTGCTGACAGCTTTTTCTTTGCATCCGCCTTTCTGCTGCATTATTGGCTGACTCAGAATAATAGTCAGACAAAAATCAACTATTGTTCCTAGCTCGAGTCTGGTTGAATCTAACGCGCACTCTTACTGGTTGATTTACTATGGTTCCAAGGCAACGGCTGATGCATGTGGCAATTAAAAAATTGTGAGCCGCTCTTTCCACTAACCGGGGATTCGACTTGACATTTTCCCCACCAATCGGGGGATTCACGCTGACGTAATTGTCTACATTTTTGCATGCTCATTTGCATACGGCTTTGCGTGTAGAAGGAAACATGTTAGCTCTTTGGGTGTAATATTCAAAGAGAAATTGTCTTTCAAAAACTGCAAAATTTTTTGGTGGCAAAAGCGCTAATGGGTTCATACATTCTTTAAAATTTTGAGCTTTTAAACCTGTGTTGCACAAAAAGTATTCAATAAATCAGGCTCACATCGGCGGAGGTAATCGTCAATATTCAGGACTCCATCAGAAACTGAATTGCTTATGCTAATGAGACAAATATTGTAAACAAGGATTCCCCCATATTTATCTTTAAAATAATGTTTAACGTCCAAAAAACTTTAAAATATACAACTGACCCAAAAAAGACCTCTGAGCGCAGACTGCATACGAACGTTCAAAGTAGCTTTGCAGTGTTTATCAAAAAAATTAAATGTATAAATTTATGTTATTTTTTTTCAGCTCTTAGGCAGGCGTTCTGTTTAAGAAAACAAACATTCACTACCCACGTTTGACCCGAGTTGAAAAATTCTTATAAAAATGTTTTGGATTCTACATATCTTCATTCATTATGTAACTTATATGTTACATTATTATAAGGCTTGAGTTTGTAGCCGATATAACGCGTGCGCTGATTGGCTAATTATAAGGCATATGGAAAAAATAAATACATATATTTTTTGTAATTGTGGTGGCTGAAAACAATGAGTGACGAGGAACACTCTGAGAGTGAATTTTGTTACCCTGGTTGGCTACAATTTCAGAAGAACAGCTAATTCACCTTGTTAAATTACGATCAAGTTGGTGCCGGACAGGACGAAGGGAACAGCCAATTCAAACTGCTTTTAATAGGCCATGAAATAAACTTCTTATTAACCTCGACCGTTCGGTCTTTACGGGAAAATCTCAATATAGACCTCGCTATTGCTCGGCTTGTGTTTATAGCCGATATAACGCGCGCTCTGATAGACCAATTGTAGGGCATTATTCTCCCGTAATCCCCACAAGGGATTGTTGTTGCCTGGAGTATGTCCCACAGGGGATGAAGAGGATTAAGTAAGTAAGTAATGCCCACGGGCCGATTACGGGCCCGCAAAACCAAAGCAAAGAGCCATATAATAAACAACTTATTAACCTCGAACGTTCGGTCTTTACGGGAAAATCGCAAACCTCAGCCTTGTCGTATTGACCTCGCTATCGCCCGGTCAATACGACAAGGTTTCGGTTCGAGATTTTCCCGCAAAGACCTCACTCTCGAGCAAACATATTTTTAAAAAATATATAGGCCCTGTACGGATAATAGCGCCGCCTTAAATTTTCGAAAAATTGAGGTGGCTTTGAACCCCATGGACAGAATTTTTAAAATTAAGGGTGTTTTTAGCACGTCACTTTGTTGTTATGGTAACCTATTGTGTCAGGAACATGATACCACCGTGTTCACACTGAGATCCGATGATTAGGTGTTTTTGACACCATGATTGTAGCATCAACTGATAAAGAACGGTTTAAGTGGCCCATTAAAATCTAAGCCCTGGAAAGGGCTGGAAATTGCTTTGAGCCACCTTAAAGGTGATGAAAGGCTGGGAAAGATGAATAGACAAAATGGGACAGTCGTTCCTCGTTCTGCTTCAGTGGATCTGCATTAAATTGTTCTCAGCTTCGTCAAGAAGCGAGTCTCTTAGGTAGCAAATGAAATGCCAAAGTGATATAGCAAGTAGCAAGTCAGTGGGACAGACTAAAGCCTGGTTCACACTAGCGACATAACGACATAACGATATCGACATAACGACATAAGGAAAAGATCAGTTTTATCTTTATGTCGTTATGTTCATGCTGCCGTTGCTAATATGTCATTATGTCTACATGTTCACACAACAAACATAACGTCCTTTTTACGTCGAGATAACGTCCTTTTTATGTCGTTCGTGACGATGTCGTTATGTCGTTATGTCGTTATGTCGCTAGTGTGAACCAGGCTTTAAGATACTCCTTGTAATGTCCATCTGCGGTCAGATGTACGGTTGCAAGACTGAACTTGGTCTGGTGAAGGACGAGACCGATCAGAGCACCACTCCTCCTTCGATCTAAATAGTCCGAATACCCTCCCCCCGGGAATGTAGGCTTTTTCACAGCCTGTCTGTGAAAACGTTTATTGGCATGATCATTCATTTCAGCACGTGATAAAAAAAAACAAAAAAACAAAAAAAAAAAAAAAAAATACGGCCTAACAGCCAAACTTGCTCGTTCGCATTCGATAGTCCGCTAGGAGCTAATCGAATGTGGGGCTAAATAACCTATTTTCAAGTATCATGCATTGATGCCAATTCAATCATCATCATGGATAGTAAAGAGACTTCTACTATCCATGATTCAATTTACTTTGTGTCGCGCGTGCGCGAGAAAAGAACGATTCGCCAAGCGAAGCGTGAGCCAGCTCGCAGACATATATAGCCAATATATGAATCAGTCATTAGTAGCACGAAGTTTGTTTACGTTGCACTAGCACACGATTGCAAATATTAACTGATATTCTCGTGCTTCTAGCTTAGAATACTATATTTAAAGAATGTTATACCTTTACATTGAAAATTGAATGGCATAAAGTTTGAAAGCAAAAGTAAACATTTTAAGTCTATGAAAGCAGCGCTGTCACGCAACAACGTTTCAATAAATTAAATCGTACTTAATAGAAAAGGGACCTCTCCTTGCTAACCAGAAAACAACAAAAGTACATCCACAGAAAAAAAAAATTGGACTTTGTCGTTATCTCAATATGTAAAACTTCAGTTGTTCTTAGAAAAAAAGATTAATTTTAGCAATAGACAAAACTGTTTTCTATTAATTTCAGCCTAAGGGGAAAATCTACATTGTAAAGCGTTGTTTGGCTAAAATTTGTCAAAAGTCTTTTGTGTTGTGAACTTAAACAAAGATCGACTAATCTATATGGTGTTTTAAGCATAAATAAGTTTTTCCTCTCGTAGAGATGGTCGTTGTTCAAACTACGGTTTTGTACAGTAAGAAAGTATAAACTAAAAAACTATTTTGTTCCAGTTTCAATTTTCCTTTTGACCTTAACCGAAAAATAATATATCTTGATACAACTCTTTACGCTGAATATACAGCCTATCCATATAACTTTTGTTAAGTCTTGTGAGCACATTTATCTTGTAAACTGAGATATCTAGTTGACCGGCGATTTCAATGAAGCCGACTCTATTCATGCCTCTTAGTTTGTCATTAGTTTCTTCTTTCAGGTTTTAAGCTGACTTTATTTAGTCGTCTTTATTTTGTTCCTTGATTACATGATGCAATCGTGTATGGCGTTAGTATAAGTAAAGCAATCTGTTCATTGCAATACGATTTACATCTCGACGATTTACGATTTACATCAACGAGTTGTACATTGAAGACGTATAGGAGGGGGGCATTGGGGTATATTAGAAGCCGCGAAACTGAAGAAAAAGTCATCCAAAACCGTAAAACCGCAAAAAAATTCGGCCATAACCAAAAACCGCATACAAAACCGTCAAAAACCGTGTGAAGTTACAGTTCTCTGAGTGTCCTGATTTCAGTTGTAGCAGATCCGACGGTGCTTTGGAACCCGTGACAAGTTCCTCTGCCGCAGGAAGCGAGCTGCTCCGAGCTAATCGTTCCCTAAGCGCAGTCGTCCCCATTTTAGAGTTCAGAGCGGAAAACCCGTTGCCACACATTGCTACAATACAGATGAAATTATTCCTTGTTACTTCAAAGTCAACAAATATAATCAAATTGAACGGAAAACCCTACAAAATTTAACTGTTCCCACATTTAACATTTCCAAAAAGCGAATGCGAACTGAACATGCACTACACAGTTGCTTCTTCTGGTTTAATTACTAGTAAATACACTTTAATCTATTACTGCTATTTTCCATTTCGCTAATGCACAAACGAGACGCAGCCCTATACAAAAGATTTCAACTTTCTCTATTTCAAGCAATAACTAACGATTAATGTTGCATCAGAAATAAGGCAAAGAAAAAAAAAAATTGGAAAACACGGCATCAACAAAACGGAATCCCATAAAATTAGCGTAATCCTTACTATAAGTTCTCAATTGAAATAATTCATGATAAACCGACTACATTCTATTTTGTTGTTTCTATACATATTTTTATAGACTTTATACAGAATTTGTTTTGCGTGATAAAAAACAAAGTATATTGACGAAGAAAATATTATCTGATAGAGACTCATCCTTTGAGGCCTTGTTGTCGACAATGACAATGTTGTTTATGCAAGTGAACTGATATGAAATATCACATATTTGAACAAAAAGACAAAACAGAAAATGCAATTCTACACTTTGGTACAAAGATGGTCAAGTCTAGTTTTACCATGTAGTACACCGCAGCTATGCTAACATTTTAATAGTTTCTTTTTTTCAAGAGTCACCACAAAAATGAGGTTAGTTCGCTCTTCACGGATCATATCAGACGTAAACGGTATGATTCTGTGTTTCCAGATCGCTGGATTGTGTTGTTGTGTTCATGTCGTTCTGATCGCGATCACCGGCGGACCCAGTCACGCACCTACTCGGTTTCCATTGACATTTCATGAGTCTGCGGTAAGCGTCACGAAACTCGGCGATTCGGAAGCAGTAAATCCACGGATTCATCGATGAATTACTCAAAGCCAGTGTTCTTGCCCAGTTGTAAGCCACGCCAAAATTATCTTCAGCAAAGGCAGAGCGCAGGTACAGCAGGGGAAACCAACAGACCGTGAAAATCACAACAACGATGGCTATCGTGGCTGTCACGCGACGCTCCACCATATGCTCAGATGATGCGCTCCTGCGTGACTGGCCACGCAAGCGTTTTAAAGTCGCCGTTCCTTGTTTTCGGACCTTCAGAATGATTAAACTGTAGCACGAAATAATTATGAGGTAACAGATGCCAACAGCAAAGACTGTGAAATAAGACGTGCCTTTCTTGCTGACCGTGAGGCGCAAAATTCCATAGACGACAGGCAGGGTCCAGGCGATGGCCAATGCTATTTTGAATCTCTTCTTCGTTCGCAAAGTTCTGAAGTCGTGCGGTCGAAGTATAACCAAACAGCGATCAATGCTGATGAGGCAAAGATGGAGGACTGAAGCGGAACACGACATGTTCGCGATCAGACGGAAAGCTTGTGAAACCCCCTCGTGGCATTCGCTTTTCACTTGAAGACCGAGAAACACCGAAAACATCGGTTGTCCGAGCGCGGTGACCATTAGATCAGCAACAGCCATGCTTACCAACCAAAAGTTCGAAATAATCTGTAGACTGGTGTTCGTGCAAACTGTACCAATCACCAGCACGTTGCCGATCGTGCCAAGAATTGTAGACAAAATATTCACCGACAGTAATCCAGCAATGTGTCCAAGAGGTAAATGACATGGTACTGTCGCCGTGGATGGGCTGGTAGAGTAGTTTACAGTGAAATCCATCATTGCGATTTCTGTAACAGAGAGGTAAAATACGTGGCTTCTTTTTCTTTCTGAGATCTAAAATGACCCTAAGCCGTCTACCGCGAAAGCTAAATGACCTTACCACCAACTGTTAGGATTCCAATAATGCGAGTGATATTTAACAAGGGATGAGTAATAATCATTTCCCTTTCGTCACACGCGGTGGGCACGTCCGGTTCGGCGCCCGATTGGACGAGCGGAAGTACTAATGACAGTTGTGGCCGGGAATTTTAAATCTTTCGTGTGAATAAGAATAGCATGAAGTGTCCCCAAAAACAAACCTTGCGGATATGCAGTGTGTCAGTTACAATTATAAATTCACAGAAGCGTAAATGAGGTAACTAACAATGAATATATATGCATCTCGTTTCCTGTGAGAAATACACAGAGATTAGCATCTTTTGGCGGAACGATTCAAATATTGTGAAGCGTTCAGTGCTCAGAGCAAACATTCAGGATGTGAGGCTTTGGATTGTTTCAAGAAAACGTATTGTTAAATATGTAAAATGAGGTTTTCTTTTAAGTATCAGGGATATTACACAGATCTTGTTTTTTTTCTTTTTCTCTTTTTCTTCATGCAAATAAAACACAAAAGTAGTGATAGCGGAGGATCCTAAAAACTTTAAAAACAGAAATCCCGTTTAATTTTTTTTGTAACGTTTATTGGAAGAGACATGTGGGTCGGATTTTGATATGAATGAATAATGAAGACACTGATTGTAGAGATATGAAGTGGAGAATCCGGTATTTTTGACGAATCAATTATGCCTTAAAATATGTATTTAGATGACTAATTTATCTGTGACTTTTTTCACACGCCCTGTGGCATCAATCTGGCGCCGTATCGCTTTAAATCACTGCCCACCAAATGCCTTTAGACTGGAGGACTAGCAAAGACACTTGTGTTGAAAGTATGTACGGAAAACCGAAGGTATTGCCGCTAGCCACCCACCATATCGGGCAAGCAATCACACTCGTTGCATGTAAACCAGCACGACATTTCAATCGCACCTAAGCCACTTTGCAAATTAGTTTAATTTAGACAAGCCAGAGACAGTATGTTTTTCACATCATTAAATTTCTGTTTTGGGCTTCGTTATCGTTTGAATTACAAACAAACTTCAAAAGAGAAAACCAGATGGTCGTAATTGACAGATAGTTGATGTAAGATCGAAAGTCGATACAAGTGGAAATTTATCCAGATTCACGCCCAACACAACGTTAACGAGACAAACATCTCTCGGATCTGTTTCTACAGCAAGTACTTTGACGCAAGTTTGCGAGGCAGTCCTTAATTAAACCAATTCCTCATAACATTACACCTTGTAATATTTCATGATGTTTCTTTTTTAGAAGACAAATTTCCCCAAATTTCTGTCCCATTTTGGGGTACAAATCTCACTTTTATGACTTGGCTTTTTTGTTCGGTATGCAAACATGAATGGAAACATGTATTTTTGTCATCTTAGAATCGGCGAAAACAATGAGCTCCTATAGCCAACAAGTGCCAATGTCCGGGATTATGTTGACTTTGCAGGGCTTGGCGGCCATTTTTAGCTGTGGTGGGTATATTTGTTCAATGGAGATACAGTTTAATAGCTTACTCTGGTTATCAAGCGAAACAATATCACCGATAAAGGCTAATTAAGAAAGGGACTCTCTGGAAATACCTAAGCAATGAGTTGTATTGAAGTGATAAATCTTATTGTCTAAATTAACCACACAACGCTTCAACTTATTTCAACACTTATTCGGGTGGGTGTTCGTGTTAAAAGATTCCCACTCACTACAATCTGACTATCGAGTTTCTTTATCTTTGTTTAACGAGAAAAATAATATATTCGCTCGTCTACGTGTTTCTTTCCAAAGGTCCGATATGCCGTGATATTCCATGTCTTATAGCGGTTTTACCAGCACAATCTTGACCTCTTGGGTTACGTTTTTTAAATTTTTTCCGCATCCTCTCAGTATGCTTTGGAAGCCAAACATGTGATCGCCATTAAGAAATGTTATCTTTGATTTTATCGCTGAAGCTACGATATGGTTGCTAATTATACATTCATTGCGTGAAGAATTATTGTGTTGTAATTAGAGCCCTCTTCACAGTCTTCACAATATACTAAACTTCTCAACCTCGGTTGAATACGAATTTGAATGATTATTATATCACTAGATGAAAACAGAGCAATATAATATGTGCATGACCTAATTTATTCTGGGATAAATATATAAAAAGTGTACGTTATGGTGAAATCGTGGGTTTACATGACTTGTGGTTTGAGTTATTCGGTGTTAAGTAGTTTGCCACTTAAAAAATTGTCTCTCCCATAAAACAGCTTATCATAATCCTCCATCACAATGCATAGCAAATTGATGAGTAACAATCATGAATACTAAACTGGGATAGCAATCAAGTTCCTCACAGGTATTTTAACCTGTCTGACAAGAAAAAAATTCTTGTATGCTCTGCTACGCGTTGGATTGTAATCCTTCAATGACGTAAAACGGGGGAAAATTATTTGTCTTCTCGTCTGAAGGGAACATAATACTGAAGCTTGCGGCATAACTCGTAGTTTTAAAATGTCGTCATAAAGTAAATGTCTGGATATCTGTCATCACTTTTAAACTCATGGGCCGCATAGCAAGCATGCGTTCACGTCAGTGCCCGACTGTACTTGGTATAGCTATAGTGACAGAGGTATTCGTTCGTTCTTTCCGCTCCTTCCCTTCTGAGTTGGAAACATGGGTGAGGAGTTGGCTCGGGTATGGGTTCACAGACTTTATCTATCTTTTACTAGTTGTAGCACAAGGCAATCGGCTGTTTTTGCCACTGTCTTGAATGAACAACGAATGTGAAAGCCGGACCTATTTTCTACAACTAGACGCTAAGCAATGTAGGCGATGGAGAACGGTAAATTTACTGCGAGACTTTGCGACAAGGCGAGACTAGCATCTTTCTTTGCGAGCCCGAGACATTTTGACTTTTTAAATTTCGAGACCGAGTTTTAAATTCGAGCGTGAGGCGTTCAGACTCTTTGACATCTCTTCAGACGTCTTCTATAAAAAAAAAAACAAACAAACAAATGAGGACATTAAGACTTTCTTAACCGTGCGAAAAAAAACCAAAAAAAACCCGAGATCCTTAAACAGCCCGCTTGTGAAAAAAGAAACCAATACTGCGAGACGGACGTTACTGCTAAAAAACGAGACCGCGTGACCTGTGAAATTCTGCGAGAAAACTGAAACTTTTGCGAGACCCATAGCTTTTGAAGAACCATTTGCCACCCCGTTAGTATAAGTTCAGTCTAAAACACGTATTCGAAACTCAGGTAGTGAAGATCTCAAAGACATAAGTTTCACATTTAATCAGGAAACCTACGGTTAACCTAGGTAAAAAGAAAACAAAATAAAACAAGTTTCAGATACACGGGTTTTGTTACACAACTTAAGATCGTGTGGCCGTGTATATGCGAAAAATAACCAATGAATAAAAAAATTCTATATAAAGCCGGAAACTTTGCTCTCGTGAAGGGCGAAAACTCGAAAGTAATTCGCCTCAACCCGCGTTATTTATCTTTATGTTACTTGACTGGAGAAGCAGTACAATTTTTTTTTTTTAACAGCTATCATTATAATATAGGGTGACCAACAGAGCACAAGCACGTACAATTAAGGTAAGTCGAGCTAATTACAAGGACATTTGAACCCGAGACTTTGTTTCTAGCGCCACGAGGCTATGCGGCCTTGCTCTTGCAACCGATATGCCATGCAGTTCATAGGAAGAGAGAGGATGAGCCTGAGGAGAGGCATTTCTTTCGAAATGGCAACCTTAACTATACCAGCGCCTGTATCATCGTAGTTGGTACTGCTTTGCTACTGTGGGGACACTATCAATGAAGAAACAAATATTGTAAATAGAATTGGAAACTTGTTTGTAAGTCCTGACTGGTTGTAGGTAGACCAGTTAGCTACTTGAATACTGACGACAATCCATCCAGCGTCAGGGAGGAGAATTTTGACCCGGGACCTCCGGATTACAAATCCAGCGCCCTAACCACTAGACCNAAAAAAAAAAAAAAAAAAAAAAAAAAAAAAATTAAGGCCCCGTCCAAACTAGGCCGGAGAAATTGAAAACCCAGCTTTATTTCTACCGTTAGGCCTACTGTCCACACTAACCCGTCTTGAAAACGCAGCTTAATTGACAGCTACGGGTAAGGCTACCTTCGACACTAAAAAACGGATCGAAAACGCTTTTTAAACGGGAGGAGTCTGAAAACATTGGCTTTGCGCTTTAGTATGGACGGAAAGCATTTTCAGTAAAAACGGAGCTTTTCGAAAACGATGATGGCACGATAATCACGTGATTTCCCTGACCGAGATTTCCCCTAAAACAAATCCAAAACGATCGCTGATTGTTGCGTTTTCTCCTTCTCCGGCATAGAGTGGTCGGAAAACATTTGATGCGTTTTCAGAGTGGAAACAGCGTTTTCAAATTTCTCCGTCGTACGGTGGCCGGGGCTTGTATTTGTGTTCACTGAGAGCCAATGACTTGTGCATTACTACAACACAAATATAAACGGAATTCACTCCGCTTAGGAAATGAGAGGAAATTTGAAACCATGACAAAAATTCAAAATATCGATCAAACGCCAAATGTTTGGGAGATGGCATAGAAGCTAGTTCTTTCAGTTAGCAATACCGGCTGATGCGGTTGTTTCAGCGTTTTATCATTTGAGCTTTGAGCGATTTGAACGTAACTTACTTTACCTTTCCTATTTGAGT